TGCTGCTGCTGCTGCTGCTGCTGCTGTCGCCCGCGAAGGACAGCACGGACTGGATGGAGCGCGAGCGCTGCGGCAGCAGCTGCTGCCGCAGCTCCCTGTAGGGGCTGCTGCTGCTGCAGCCGTTGTTGCTGCTGCTGCTGCCGAGCGCCTCCGCGCTCTGCTGCCGCTGCAGCAGCTGCAGCAGGTCCCTGCTGCTGCTGCGCAGCAGCTTGCCCTCGACGCCGTCGCCCTTGCTGCCCCAGCTGTCTCCGTGCTGCAGCAGCAGCCCGGCGGGGCCGAGACCTGCTGCTGCTGCTGCGTCGCTGCTGCTGCTGGCTTCGGCGTGCTGCAGCTGCTGCAGGTCGTCGAGGACGGGCCGCTTGCGCTTGGCGGGGGCGGCCGTTTCTGCTGCTGCTTCTGCTGCTGCTGCTGCTGCTGCAGCGCGGGGCGGACTTTGCTGCGGGCGAATGGGAATGAAGTCATTAAAAGCTGCGACGTAGTCGGGCCACTCTGCTGCCTTCCTGGGGGGCTGCTGCAGCGCAGCAACCCAGGCGGCTTCGCGCTGCTGCTGCTGCTGCTGCTGCTGCTGCGCGTGGGCGCGGGGCCCCAGGCCCCCCCCCCGCTGCTGCAGACACCCCATCACGTGCTGCGGCAAACTGTAAACTGCTGGCAGCAAAGAAGACTCCAGAGAAGCCACTGCAGCAAGAGCAGCAGCAAGCAGCTGCAGCCGCGCCAAGCAGCTAGCTAGCTGCTGCCGCAAACAAGACACACTAAACTCCACGCCCACGCTGCAGAGGGCCAGCGCGCTGCGCGCAGCAAGCGGCAGCGCAGCGCCAATCCTGCAGCACAAACCCTAAACCCTAAACCCTAAACCCTAAACCCTAAACCCTGGCCTTGAGGGGCGCCCGGGAGCTGCGGGCTGCGCGGCTTGCTGGGGGGTTCAAACCCTGCGGGTGGTTTACGGGGAGCAGCGCGGCGGTCCACAAACCCTAAACCCTAAACCCTAAACCCTCACCGCCGCCGATCGCTGCCTTGCCAGGCCCTGAGGGGCAGCAGCTGCCGCAGCAGCAGCTCCGTGTGCTGCAGCAGCGTGGAGAGCCAGGGGTCAGCAACAGCAGCAAGAAAGGGACTTGCCTCCGCGAGCTGCTGCTGCTGCTGCTGCTGCTCCTCAGCCCCGCTGCGCGTCTCCTGCAGCAGCTGCCGTGCTGCAGCAGCAACGCTGCTCATGCTGAGGTCTTTGTAGCGCCCCACAGAAGGGACAACAGCAGGTCTGTAGAGTTCATAGAGACAGGGCCTTGCTGCTGCTGCTGCTGCTGCTGCTGCTGTGTCTGCTGCTGCTGCTTCGAGCTTGACCGCCGCGGCGGCTGCTGCGTCTCTGCTGCTGCTGCCCGCGGGGCCCCCGGGGGCCTCGCCGCCGGCGTAAGCTGCTGCCTGCTGCTGCAGCACGTGGGAGACTGCAGCAGCAGCAACGTTGCTGCTGCTGCTGCCGTACGCCGAAAGGGGGGCCAAACCCCCTGCAACAGCAGCAGCAGGAGACACTCTGTAAGCTGGAAAGTGCTGCTGGTTCTGCTGCGCCCCCTGGTGGCTGAACTTCTCGGGGCAAAGAGTGAAGAGAGAGAGAGAGAAGTGCAGCAGCAAACCATCGCGCAGCAGCGCCTCCTGCTGCTGCTGCTGCTGCTGCAGCTGCTGCAGCTGCGCCTCCAGCCGGCTGCACCACAGCACCCGCTGCTGCAGCGAGCCGAGGAAGTCCGAGACCGTGAGGTCGTCCAGGAAGCACTCGAAGCTGTTGCTGCTGCCGCTGCCGCTGCTGCTGCTGCTGCTGCTGAGCGCAGCAGCAGCAGCAGCAGCACTCACGCTTGCTGGCAGCAACTCCGGCAGCTTCTCAGAACCCCACAAACGGGCCTCCTTTACTGCGCCCCCGGGGGCCCCCATAAGACTATAATGGAAAGTGCAGAGTTCAGCTTGGGCCTTTTGGCGCAGCAGCAGCTCGCGCTGCTGCTGCAGCGCCTCGTGCTGCTGCTGCTGCTGCTGCTCCTCGTCCTCGGGCTCGCCCGGCGGCCTGTAGTGCCCCGGCGCCGCGTGCTGCTGCTGCTGCTGCTGCTCCTGCTCCCCCGGCGGCCTGTAGTGCCCCGGCGCCTGCTGCTGCAGCAGCGGCGACTGCAGCAGCTGCTGCAGCGGCTGGCTCAGGAGCTGCTCCATTACTGTACAAAGGGCGAGACGCTGCTGCTGCTGCCCCCGCCGCCGCTGCTGCTGCTGCCAGCGCTGCTGCTGCTGCTGCTGCAGCTGTTGGTGCTACGGCTACGCCTGCACGGCTATGGGCTCACGAGCAGAAAAGCTGGGACCCGCAGCAATCACCTTGAGTTCATTGCTCCAGCCGTGCCGTCGCTGCTGCTGCCGCTGCTGCTGCTGCTGCTGCTGCCGCTGCTGCTTCTGCCGCTGCAGAGTATTAAACAAAACTCGAAATGCGGGGAGACCGTCCCTAGAACAAATTACTTTGCATTCATTGCTGCCGGTGGCGGTGCAGCAGCAAGCGGTGCTGCTGCTGCTGCTGCTGCTGCGGCTGCAGAGAGGCGGACTGTGTGCGCAGCAGCAGCGGCTGCTGCAGCAACGGGCCAACAGGTAGCAGCAAAGATAATATTGATGGATGTGGGGCCTTCAAGCGGATCTGTTAAGGTGAAGTTGAGGCTTGAGTCGCTGCAGCAGCAGCAAAAGCAGCAGCGCAAGGCCCCGCTCGCAACAGCAGCAGCAGCAGCAGCAGGACGAGGCGCTGCTGCGGCCGCCGCAGCCCTCGTAAAGACACAAAAAACAACAAAAAATAAAAAACAGGTCTATTGGAGTAGTTAACCTGAGCAGCGGAGGCTGCAGCCTGCAATTAAAAAGGAGAAAAGCAGAAAAGTGGCTACAGCAAGACAACGCGGCTGAGCAGCAGCAGCAGCAGCAGCAGCAGCAGCAGCAGCAGCAGCGCAATCGCTCCAGTGGGGCGGACACACCCCACAGGTTCTCACTGCGTCTCGGAGACCCTAAAAGACGCCACTTTTTACATTTATAATGCATTTATTTTATTTTTTAATTCTTTTTTTGCTGCTTTTAGTTCCAAAGACAAGCTCAAAGGCTCCCGCGGCTGCGGAGAGCTGCGCAGACACCCCCCGGCCCTGCCCGGTGAGGCCCTGGCTAGCCAGCAGCTGTCAAGACACCCCAATTTCGTTTCTTTGCATGCAAGGCCCTCCCCCTCGCGCTGTGGGCTGCTGCTGCGGCCTGTGGGGCCCCAGTTTGCTGCTGCGCGCGCAATTCGGGCTGCGCTGCAGCAGGAGCAGCAGCAGCAGCAGCACCACCGCCACCCGCTGCTGCCCCTCCAGCCGCGCGAACGCCCCCTCCGGGCCGACGCCCGGACGCAGACCCCCCGAACGCCCTGCTGCTGCTGCTGCTGCTGCAGCAGCAACACTTCGCTGCTGCAGCAGCAGCCAGCTTCGCCGAAGCAGCTAGCAGCAAAAGAGGCTTCTAGCGAGCCCCAGATGCAGCCCACAAACCAGTAGAAGCAAAGGGACACAAACAGCTAATAGAAAAAGCAGCAAAAGAAGCAGAAGAGCAGCAGCAGCAAAAAGGCAGCCCGAAGCAGACTGAGAAACCGAAGCACAAGCAGCTGCGCCGCTAGGGTTTAGGGTTTAGCGCAGAAGCCAAGGACAGACGCAAACTAAGACAGCAGCAGCAACGGGCTCGAAACCCTAGACCCTACCGGCGCATCGAGGGTTTAGGGTTTGGCGGAGAAGCAAAGAAACAGGCCAGAGACCCTAGTGGTCCTCCGGGACACCAAACCCTAAACCCTAAACCCTAGGGCGGCTGCGCCAGCCCACGGGCGGCTCTGGGGCTCTATCTAAGCAGCTTTCAGAGCTGAGGCTTCAGCTAACAGCTGCTGCTAGGGTTTAGGGTTTAGGGTTTGGTGCTGGTGGCCCGGCGCTGCCTCTCCTCGGCTGCAGGCGCTCGCGCTCAAACCGTAGCAAAGCAAGTAGGGTTTAGGGTTT